AGTGTAGCCTGGCTGTAGTCTCACCTTCCACTGCAGTGAGCAGCTGTCCGGAACAAGTTCACTCTCACAAGGACACACCACACCTGGTCTCCTCATCTTGAATGTGAATGTAGGCCATATGGGAGCTGGAGTGGGGCTTGGCTTCATGTCCTCTCTGAAAGTTGAGGATTGAAGGTGGGCGACTGGCAGTGTGTGTGGTCAGGAGGGAAGGCTTGAAGGAGATGATTGAGGTGGGTGGTGTAGGTGCCCTAAAGACAATGAAGCGAGGTCCCTTAGGTCCCACTGTGGCCTAGAATCCTTCTCTGTACCTCAGACCTCAGAATCCCCCTCTAAGAACAGGGGTACAGTGCTTGCTCTCCAACTCTTTCTCAGACACAGGTATGGAAGAGACAAGGCCTATATTGCAGGTGGTGGAGTCCCAAGGGCTGGGAGAGGACTCAATGAGTCTCCTGATACTCTGAGCCTATGTTGGTGGTGTTTCTAATAACCTACTCCATGGGCCTAACACATCCTAGGTTCTCAGTGAACATTTGTTGGCTGCATGAATGATGGACTCCAATTAGCTTTTGCCTGATGTCTGATGGGATTCAAGGCCGTGGGGATGGTGAGAGGGCAGAGCCAGAGAGTGGAGCAGCCGAGGGCCTGGGAAGCAGGGGAGGTGGGGTTGGATATGGGCAGCTTAGGCTGGGGCAGAGCCAAGGCAGCCAGGTGCTTGTCTGCTGTCATCCAGCCACATCTCAGGTCAGTCACACCTAGCTTCTCTCCTGGGCATGGCGTGCATTCACTTTCAAGATAAGGAGGAGACCAGGTGTGGTGTGTTCTTGTGCCAGTGAACTTGGTTGTGACACCTGCTCATGGCAGTGGAAGCTGAGAGACTGCAGCCAACTTACCCCTCCTGGGAAATACAATTAGTTCTTAAGTAAGGTCCAGTGACAACTTCCATGACAGTAGTTGGTTTGTCTGAGGTACCTTTTCTGTGTCTGAGTGAGGAGTTTTAATAATGTCTTTTGTAGCTTCACATCTTTTGTCAAACCCCTTTCTGTACAAAACTCATTTTCTAGTTTGTAAGAGAGATGCTAACAGCTGTTAAACCTTTTAGTGCACATCTTCCTCCTGGCTATCCTTGTTGAGTGTCTATCTAGCATCAAACTTGATAGTCTGGGGTGGGGTGGGACCAGGCATTCAGAATTCCTGGGCGTAAATGGAGGAAAAGTCCCTGCCAATGCAGGACAGAAGGGACAGGAGTACATGGGTTTGATGGGGTGGGCTCAGGCCTCTCAAATGGGGATGGTCACTTACCAGTGGTACCTTGGAGCCAGGAGGGGGTAGAAGAAAGACCAACAAGAGAAGGAGGACTGCATCTTCACAGAGGCCTGCCCAGATCAGAGCTGCTGGTATTTCTTGTGTCTAGACACAAACCCCTGAGGGGAGCAGGGGAGTGTGGCTCAGTGACTTCCTGTACCTCCTGGACCGCACCCCTCTAGTTTTGCTGGGTGTCATCACACCAGATGTTTGTGTAAGTTCTCAGGCTTGGTTCCTGACAATGGCACTGCCACCACACTTGCTAAGCCACAAGGTGCAAGAAGGAGTAAGAATGTGAGTGCCTTGGCTGCAGCCAGCAGGGGGCTGGAACATCAGAATCCCTCAGTGACTAAACCAAGCCTGTTTCCATGTCTGGGCTCTTGGCTCTTTTCCATGCTGATGAAATCATGAATAATTATTTACAGGCCAGGTCCAGGCATATGGGAGACGTGGTTCCTGCCCTTGAGAAGCTGACATTGGCTGCAGTCCACTGAGAATCTGTGGCTGGGGTATGAGAAGAGAAGGGCTATGGACAGGGGTTTGCTCGGTCATGTGAGGTAGAGGGTGGACTCGCCTGAGGACCAGATGGCCTGCACACACCCAAATATCCCAAATGGTAGCTCCTTTTCTGATTTCACCACCACTCCAAACTCTTATTTTTGGAATATTTAGCATCTCCTCTGTAGATGTAAATATTATATGACACAGGAGTCTTTATTACCACACAATTTTAAACAGAAGTCCTTGACTTTTGTTCATTGGCTCCAGTGTTCAGAGAACCCTGTCTCTGATATCCCTGGCCTAGCAGTTAGATACATCTGCAAACACATTATCCCAACGCTCTCACCAGTGTGACCACAGAGGGAAGAGCAATGGAAAGGGAGGCACTGGAGTTTTCAACAGCCCTACCCCAGTTCTGTGCAAGGAGCAGCACCTTCAGCATAGAAGAACTTCTGAAGGATCAGTGATGATGATTTCTGCGTGGTGGAGGTCTCGGTAATTTTCACTTTCTTATCTACATGTTCCACATTTAATTACTTTTCTGTGATGAATATGTACTACTTTTTTATTCCCCAAAGACATTTTCCCATAGTCAAAGCACACCTATCAATGGCAGATATTCAGCAAAGTTCTCCTTTTCCACCTGTCCTTCAGAAGTTGTATGTTTTAATATGAGATTCCTGTTCTTAATCTAGTCATACAATGAAGATTTGAGTTTCCTTTTGATACTGACACACACACACACACACACACACACACACACACACTATATAGGAGGTGGAGAGAGGTTGGCTGAAACCGAGATGAAAGAGCAACTTCAAGGTCAGTGTTGGCTGCAGGTGGGCAGGCTGCCAGGACACCAGGGGCTGCACTGGGCTCTGGGCTCCCAACAGGACTGTGCCAGGCACTGGACCTGGGCCCGGGAGTAACGAAAGGCCTGGCCCCTTACCCATGAGCTTCATATAGGACCCTCCAACTAATTTCTGGATTCTTTTATGTTGCATAGTGGCATTGGGGCAGTGTAGGGTAAGGCAGTAGTCGGCAAACTCATTCGTCAACAGAGCCAAATATCAACAGTACAAGGATTGAAATTTCTTTTAAGAGCCAACTTTTTAAGACTTAAACTTCTTCTAATGCCACTTCTTCAAAATAGACTCGCCCAGGCCGTGGTATTTTGTGGAAGAGCCACAGTCAAGGGGCCAAAGAGCCACATGTGGTTCTTGAGGCACAGTTTGCAGCCCACGGGGGTAAGGTATATGTGTGGCTTGAAGTAAGAGGGCAATATGGATGAGATAGGAGGGTCTCCTAGAAGAGGGTCACTTTTGGGGGACAGATGTCATCCCTTTCTTGATGGAGCTCATATTAGGCTGGTTATGGGAGCTGGCACTGGAAGGAATATTGGGAAGAAGCTAGGTAGAGGTGGAAGATGTGATTCCATGAAGCGGGAAACTCTAACAGCTGGGAAATGTGAACAAATGGTTGCCCCACACACAGCAGGTAACTAAGACAGGTTTTGGTAAATACAGGAGGAATCAGTGATGTCCACTCTAGAAAATGCAAGTTTATTATGTGTCTGGCAGCCTCCCCTCACCCCTCTGCACAGTGCAGTTCTGGCCTGCGCCCCAGAGGAGACAAATAGATCAGTTCTGAGGTGCCTCAGTCTGGTCTCGGCAGTTGGAAATGTCTCATTGTTCTTTCTATCCAGGGCAGAAAGCTGGAAATCTTAGTTTCAACACGAGGAGGTTTTCCACCTTTCCTCCCAAAGGAGACAATGCCCTGGGCCATGTTGTCACACACGAGGGGTCCCCCAGAGTCGCCCTGTGGGCAGAGGGAGGAAACACTGAGCTGAGCCTTCTCCTGGCCCTGTCCTCTTCGCTGTCTCCAGGGTGTGTGGTCCCTGTTAGGAGATCAGGGTCAGGGGAGACCTTGTCTGATCCTTAGGTCTGGGGTTTTCCATTTGACTCTGAAGGTCTCTTTTTCCCCTTCTAGAAAGTCTTTGCCCACCCGTAGCTGTGGGACAGCCTCTCTGTTCCCTGGAGAGACAGGACCAGAGATTGGACTATGGAAAGGCAGAGGACATAGGGCTGTGGCCAGTTCCCACTGCCTCAGGTTGCCTGCAAGCTTGTTTGTGCCCAGGGCGGGGCCTGGACAATGCTGGAGATCTCACCTTAAAAGTAGACTGATCCTTTCCTGGGTCCCCCACACAGATCTCTTTGGCTCTGTTGAAACGGTGTCTGTAGCAGGAGACACACTGCTTGTCCTCTTGGATTTCCAGCTCTACCTCATGCAGTGTGGCTGTGGAGGTGTTCAGGTCGAGTCTCCCCCAGCCGGCCACTCTGCACACCATCCCTGGCTTCACCTGCTCTCCCCTCCTGGGCAGCCTGAGGAGGCTCACAGCGGCAGTGAGGGTGGCTTTCCTCTTCAGCTGAAGGCAGAGGACAGGAATTCTCATTGAGCAAGGGCCCAGGACTAGGACAGTCATAGCCCTGGGATAAGGAAAGGGCTCACACTAGAAGGGACGACAGGAAGGAGGTCATAGGAGTTGAGAAACCCCAGGCTGAGCGTGTGCAAGAGCCAGTGGAAGAATGAATCCTACCTGCAGCAACATGATGTCATTGAATTTGGGACGATAGTTTGGGTGGGGGATGGCTGTTTTCACTGGGATGACCTGCTGGGTCCTTTCACGCTTCTTGATGTTGTGGGCACCCAGGATGACTGAGATGGACCTGCACAGAGATAGCCAGGGATGTGGAGGCACAGCAGATACAGCCCAGGGGCCAGGAAGGGAAGAGGGCAGCTGGGGGCAGTGCAGGATTGGAGTGGAGAGGAATTCTAGGGGATGGGGCGGGGAATTGAGCATGCCTGTGCCATGTGCTTTTTGGCAGCTCAGGCTAGGTGTCATTTCCTGGAGCAGAGCTTCGGTGCTCAGTCACACCCTGAGCTTGTCTGTCTCTAAGCAAAACTGTGAATTTCTCACATTTGTACCCTAATCTTCAGGACACAACCTTGGCCTTCTTCCTGAGCCCCTTTGATCAGTCCCTCCAGTCTTCAACAGGCCACTTTCATTGACCGGTCCCTCTACCCAAAGCTGACCTGTCCTCTGAAGTTCCCCTCTATGCCCCTAGGACTGTAGTCTCTGAAAAGAGGGTTCCCTGTGAGGTATCTGCCGAAGGGTGGGCCCAGGCTATGCTCCTCACCTTCCCAAACAGTGAGCTGCTGTCAGCACAAAGTCCTCACGCACAAGGAAACCCCCACATCGTTTTCTGTTTGAACTGCTGATCCGAAGAAATGCCATGTAGGGACGAGAGTGAGGCTCGACCTCATGACCCCCGATGATTTTCACTGCAAGAAAAAATCTACTCTGCCTGCTGTGCCCATGGAGCCAGAGGCTGGAGAGGGGGAGATTGGGATAGAAAGGGGTGGGCAGTACTTGGATGGCAGATAGTGATGTCTATAGTCATCAGCCATAACCAGGAAGATGTCATACAGGTTCCTTGGGCAACATTCCTGGCTTGCTATGTGACTTGACCCACAACTGAGATACTCCCTCTGACAAAGAGAAGAGCAATCCTTTCATTCCTGTTGCAGCTGTGCACGTGTGCAGTGGGATTTGTGTCTGGAACAAGAAATTTTGTGCCTGTAGATCCTGAAAAATCTTTCCTGCCACACTCCTTGGGCCTTTCTCCCTTCTTTTCCCCAAATTCAGAGCCATTGTTCTGAATTTTTCAGTCCCAATATTCAGAATATTGGGACTAAAAAATTACCAGAGAGAATTTGAGATCAAACCAGCCTCAGGGGACCAGGATGCCACCAACTCGGGTATCAATTGGATTCTCAGCTTCTTTACAAAACTTGGAGAAGGGGTGGAGATTGAGGGAGATTTTAAGATATTGAGTTAGAACATTAGTGGGCCTTGCTTTGATTAAGGAAGCCTGCCCACCTTCGTCTAGCTTGATTTACTGTGGAATTATTTCTCATTTCAAGCATCCAACCTTCTTTCAAATGTCTGAAAAAAAGCCCACTTTCCAGATATCAAGGGATGGGGTGAGTACCCATGTATTTTCCTCAGGAGCAGCCATCTGCCCTGCTATTTCTGTTGCGTTTTCATTCAGCATCAGTCTTGCTGGTCTTTGAGGGAGATGGGATCTAGTGTTGAGAAATTGCCTGTGCCAGGGATGGACCAGGGCCAGGGTGTGTCTGAGTGTAGCATGTGAGCTGGGCGGTGCCCATGTCACATGCCATTGGGCTTCTGGTGGTGGTCAGTCACTCACCTGCCTGTGCCATGGGGGCCAGAAGAAAGGCCATCAGGAGCAGAAGTGGCTGCATCTCCTCAGGAAGCTGCCAGGTCAGAGCTGCTGGTGCTTCGTCCTGGTCTTCTCAGCCCAGGGTTCTATAGTGTTGTGGCTTTTATCACACACGGCTCTCTCAGTAACCACATAAGCATTGGTAGTCATTGACTCAGTGGTGACTATGCCAGCTGAAAACATGAACCATAGGCTATAGATAGGGTGGTTCGTGATGCTGCATCAGCCAGTAGGAGGCGCCTGAGCCCCAGGGAACCCAAATCTCATAACATGCAAGGACCCCTCATTTCCTTGGCTCTCTCTTGATAGTTAGAAAATTGTTTATTGAGGTCTCCTTTTTGTGAGGGTCAGCAGTATTGCAGATGAGATTTCTTGCTTCTGCTGGAGGAGACAAAAGCATCAGTGATCAGGTAATGATGGTGAGGGCTGTGGGTGGAGGGATGGACAGAATGGTGTGGCAGCGATGCCCAAGAGGCCTTGCTCTAGTGACAGAAGAGCTGATGGCTTACCAAAACCAACAAAAACATTTATTTTGCTCAGGAATCTGCATTTGGGCTGGGTTTAGTGTGGATGTCTCCCATCAGCTCCCCTTGATGGCAGAGGAGGCTTGAAGCTTGGAGCCTGCCCAGTGGTTGTTGCCAGATGTCTGTGGGCATGCCTGTTTCCCTCTTTGAGGGCTTGTCATGCAATCTCTTCATAGGATTGTTCAGTCTTCTTTGCAGCACGATGGTGGCTTCCACAGAGTGAACCTCTCTTTCAAATTGAACCTGGCAGACATATTCTTTTTCTTTCCTAGGCTTTGTAGCTATATGGTAACCTTTCTGCCTTATTCTACACCTTGGGGTAATCAAAAGCCCTCACCTAGATTAAAAAAGGAAAGAGCATTGCAGTCATGTAATAGAGCCTGTGGGATGGAGATACATGATGGCAGTCAAAGCATTACACAGTCTGCCCTCTGCTGAGTCACATGTAGAGTCAGTGAGAGGAGTCGAAACCAGGGACCCCTGTAAGCCGCGGTCACAGCCTTTGGAGAGTTGGGGTCTTCTCTGTCCAAACCATGTGTATGAGGATGGAAGAGGGTTAACTCTCCCAACAGTTACTCTTTTGTGAAGTGGTAATGAATACCAGGAAGCCAAATAGTATTTTCCCAGCACTGTCCAGAAGACTATTAGATTTCAGATATCTTTATGCCAAGCTAATATATGCATTTAATTTGATTCCAATAAAAATATCATTTTTCTTTCAGTGTTATACAAGTCCTAGACAATTTCTAAAATATGTGTGGATAATTAACATGTTAGAATAGTTCAGAGAATTTTGATCCCCGCATCCCCCCCCAAAAAAAGACAGTAAGGGAGAGGGTAAGCCTTATCATATATTAAAAACATTATATAAAACCTCTTTCCTTAATCTTATATAATAAAATGCTAATATGCAAATTGTCCCCTTGGGTGAGAGTTTGAATGACCGGGAGTTTGACCAGGGAGTGGAGCTGAACAGCCACCCTCCCATTTCCCCTCCCCCTGGCCAGCTCGGCCCAAACGGCCCAATCAGGGCAGGCTGGCTGGACCCCTCCCATGTACAAATTTGTGCACCAGGACTCTAGTACTATAATCACTATGTGCAATGACAGATGGGTATTACACTTATGGTGATCACTTCATAAGGTATACAAATGATGAATCACTATATTGTGTACCTGAAACTAATATAATATTGCAATATTAAAGTATTACAGTATGTCAATCATAGTTAAAAAATAAATTTAAAAAACAAAAGATAAAGGAGAAAAAAAGAACAGATTGTGAAGGCCATAATACATGTGTGAAATAAATTTAAATGGTAAACTCCAAAAAAACAAACAAAACCTCTCTCCTGATTCATGAGTAGACAAAGGCCCATTAAACAGAACAGAAAACCTAGAAACATTCCTAAGTACATAAAGATATGTAATTTATAATAAGGTGACATTTCAAATCATTGGGAAAAAGATAGACTTTCTAATAAATGATATTGGAACAACTAGAAAATATTTTTTTACTTTGTTTTATTTTCCCATCAGAGTTGACAAAGTCACATTTAAAAGATATTAAGTTGGAGTCATATTTCATATAAACCACCAGAATAAAATGCAAATAGATAAAGACACTTATATATCCTATATAAAAAAGAGCTAATATGCTAATTAGACCGAACAGCAAAACAATCATCCGGAGGACATCCTGGATGAAGCTAGGGCTTCAAGGGCTGAGCCCCTTGCATGAATTTTGTGCTTCGGGCCCCTAGTAAAAAACAACAACAACAACAAAAAAATACATGCACAACGAATAAACATGGATGATTTTTTTAAATAAACTTAGAAGTAGTAAAGCCTTTCTAGCAATGAGTCTATTAATAAATACAAAACTTTAAAAGAAGTGATTGATAAATACATTTTGATATGTAAAAAGTAATTTTTACAAGTCTCCACTTTCCTGACCACGTGAGCCTCTCTATTTTGTATTGGATTATGCACAGGCAGGAGCTTTTGGTAATGATAGGAACCATGGGATCGTCTGTCCAATCAGATGGGTGTTCAGAGGCAGATTCTAACTGCAATTAGCAAATACATTGTAGGATTGTCCTACCATTTGATTCTGTACAACTGTGAATTGGTAAAAATGAAGTGTCCAATGGCAGAAGTGGAGGACACCTTTCCCAACTGGGTGCTGGGGGTAGGGTTCTTATGATAGCTTTAGAAAAGGAATTTTCTAAGACTTGTATGGGCAAATGAGTGAATTTTATTTGCATGGAGTTATATCCCTCAGTTGCAAAGTTCTCATTTCCTTTAAACTGGTCCTGGAAAAGGTGCAGCTGGGGGTTCAGCAGAGCTAGAAGCAAAGCCAGTGCCCAGAGGTTGCATTCCACGGCGGAGTGAAGTCCCACAGAGCACCAGGCTAGTTGTAATCCATCAGTTCTCTGCGTGTGGGCCATGGGGGCCATGCAGGTGAGCAGGCACTCTGTCACAAGAGAGCCAGGAGCTAAAGAGGGGAGAGAAGGAACTTTGTTTTCCTGGGAGCTTATGTAGCTCAGATTTGGTGCCATTGTAGGGGCCACATCTATTCTGGCTAATGACTGCTCCCAGGTGTGACTTACAAGTAACCACCTTTCTTATGGCATCAGACATTACTGGGCATGCTTCTATTCTTTCATGGTCCAGTCCCTCCCCTCACGACCTGTGGGAAACAGACCAGGAGAGTGTGAAACCTCAGCTTTCTGGCACACGTGGCATGCCTATTTTATCAGGCCTTCCCTTTGCTCTATCCCTGCCAATTAATTAACAACTGGGATAATTATAACAGTATCTCAATGACATTCATGCCTGCTACTTTTACTGTATTTTAAATTTTATTTTCCAATTACAGTCCACTTTCAATATTATTTTGTGTTAGTTTCAGATGTACAGCACAGTGATTAGATAAATTATATACTGTACAAAGTGTTCCTCCCGATATTTCTAGTACCCACCTGGCACCATATATAATTATGACAATATTATTGACTGTATTCTCTTTGCTGTACTTTGCATCCTAGTAACTATTTTCTAACAACCAATTTGTACTTCTTAATCTTTTCACTTTTTTTTTCCCAGACCCCCAACTCCTTCCCTCAGTTAATGATCAATCTGTTCTTTTTATTTACGGTTCTGTTTCAATTTTGTTTGCTCATTAACTTGTTCTTTAGATTCTACATATACATGAAATCATATGGTATTGGTCTTTCTCAGTCTTATTATTTCTTTGAGCATAATACCCCTAGGTCCATCCATGCTGTCACCAATTATATCTGCTGCTTTTATGGCTCATGGAAATGAGGCTGCCATCCTGCCTGCTCCCCACCTGCTGCCCTCTCCCTGAGGTGAATAGGATACACCAGTGAACAGTTTGGGGGTTGCTTGTCTAGAAATGAAAGAAATAAAGTCATTTCTAAACCCCACATGTTGCTTGCTGTTCTAGAGACCCAAGTGATTAAGACAATTAAAACAGAGTGTAATGAGCAATAAAAATAAAACACAAATACTTCTGTGGGCTCTGGGCTCTGTGGGTTCCTGTGAAGGAGGGAGAGGAAATTCCATTCAGATTAAAGTCAACACTGTCAGGTGTCAGAACCTGTATTATGTTCACTGTACATTCCCAATGCCTGGCACTTAGTAGGTGCAAAATCAGCATTTGTTCACTGATTGATGAAAAAACTGTGCTTTTCAGTCCAACTGTGGAGAGCAGCCCTTTCTAACTCAAAAGGCAAGTGGCGGTCATGTGGCCTCCCTCCCCGCAGCCTGAGCCTGAGGCCAGCAGTGAGGAATAGGCTGCAGGGGATTCAGGCCTCTGAGTGACCAGCAGTCAGCGGACTCTGAGCACACGGTGGGGACCCTGGGCTGGATGTGAGGGTGGAGCTGGCTCTGCCCAGTAAGAGATGGGGCCAGGTGTTCTGCAGACACCCTGCCACCCTTTCCTCCAGTGCCCTGCGTGGGGCCAGCACTGGTTTGGTCCTTTGGTCACCCTGTGCCAGGGCATAAGCTGGGTGGAAACTCAGTGACCAGGCCCTGTTGCAACCTGGGCACTCTGGGTGTCCTAGGTGGGGGGGACATAGGGGAGCAAGAAGATCAGACCAGTGTGGTCTGTGGAGTGCTGGGCTTGGTGGACTCTGAGGATGCTCAGTGGTCACAGGGATGAGAAGAAGGTGCATCCAGGAGACTGGAGGCCAAGCTAGGCCGTGAGCTCAGAGGAGGGCAGAAAAGGGCAGGGAGAGAAATTCAGCTCAGGATGAATGAGGAGCTTCTCAGGGTTTCCCTCCCTCCTCCACCCCGTCTCTCCTTACCATCCCCCAAACCCCTAAAACCTGCCACTCCCTGGCTGTGGGAGAACAATGTCCTGCTCAGGAAGGCCCTTCTCTCCCCAGTTTGGTGGGGCCTCCTAAGCTACAGCCCAGGCTGTGCCTGCTTGGTGCCCAGCACCCACAGTGCTAGTCCTTTCCTCTCAGCAC